CTGGAAGTCTGTAAAGGAAAGTCAATGTAGTACTCCCAGAAGCTTTTCAATCATATCTGAGTGTGTGCTATAGAAGGACAGACCATCCACTTCCATTTCAAGACTGGCAGTTACTCCACTGCGAACTCCATAATGTCTAAGTATTTGCAGCAATTTTTCTTCCTTAAAAAGAAAAAATACAATGAGTACCCTAATCAAGCAAATGGTATTACGCTCTTTCAGTTAAACCTTGGAGAAACTGTGACCACATCCTCTTCAGCATTTATTTTAGCTAACAGTATTGAAAACATCACCATTTTATAGTGACCAAAGAGTATAGTTAGCTGGAAATCTCAGTGCTGAGGGACTGAGAAAAGACTATTTTCACAGATACCCTTTACTGAGCACTGTTAATGATCCTAAACAAAAAAATCTATTTGTGTTCATTCAGAAATCTGAATTCTCTTTAGTGACACATCCTCATGCAAAGTGTCTTAAACACCATCTGGATCCCCCAAAAAGTAATGGTTTAAAGCAGTCTGGATCTGACTGTAGTTAATGGCCAGAGCTGGTGTACTCGCGCATGACTGCATGCCTCTATGTGCATGCATGCATGTGTATGCATGTTTGTGGTTCCGCTTTAGATGGCATAAATTCATTTCTCATTCCTCAATAAATAAATGTATTTCTTAATATAGAGAGCAGCCAGAAATAGATACATTAGTAAAAGAAAGAACATAAGAAAAAAGAATAGATGAAGAGAAAGAGGGATAGAATAATACTGGGACAAACATGGTACCCTACCCATCATTTTTCCTCAGTTTCTCTCAGGGATTCCTCTCTCGCCTGCAGGGTCTATTAATTTCTTAGAGACCTATGGAAGTTTACCACCTCATATTGTAGACTGTAATAAAATGAGAGAAGGACAAGCTGGAAAGAAAAAGAAAATCCCTACTCTTTGTAGTTCTCCATGATTGCACATTTTAAATTCCTGTAGCATAATACTTTTTGTTTGGAATTGGATCCCAAATCAAAGTTTATGGTGTACTGTCTTGGCCAGCAGTTATGTAAATATATGAGAAAATGCATTCCAAGCTGTGCTGTTACAGTATACACAAGGAAAAAAAAAACCTTGTCTCAGTGGGGTGCAGGTTAGTGGCAATATGATGCAAGGAAGCAGGGGAAGAATAGGTTCTCAAGAACCATAACTCAACCTGCAAAATTAAAATGCCTACAGTCATATTTTAGAAGTGTGTGGGGGGGGGGGCCATATAGACACTACATAAAGAGCAGTGAAGCATTTTCTTCTATGGATCACACTTCATAAATCACTCCACAGGCAACACCCTTTTCTATTTTTCTTTTCAAAGTAAAATGATCTATTCCTTTACCAAGTATATAAGAATTTTGCAAATACAGTAAAATGTTGTTCCAGCTGCTCTGTCTTTTGACATTTAAATTTAGGTGTTAGAACCTTCTTGTATTAGCACCGACTGTAGACAAAGACCTCATTTCAATACCATGTTAATAAAAAAAAAGTAGAGGAGTAAGAAAAGCCTAGGCACTCTCTGTTTTCTTCCCCTTTATGCAGTTCACTGGCTTTGTAAGTAATGTCACGCAATCAATCGCTCTTGCTAGGAAAGTTTTTCTGTTATTATTCTAATATTTTTCTTTCCATTTGTGTGAGATCTTGTGCTTGGGTAGACATTACTAAAGAAATGTCCTAACCTTGACAGATAGGACTATACTTTGCTTTCATATGTGAAATAGTCCTATGTTTGCACTTCATGCAAAATTATACATAGCAAATTCCGTTATAGTCTTTACCCAAAAGTCCTATATAATTCTTTACAAAGCTAAACTGTCGGTCATCTGTTTTATCAAATGTTACAGTATTTGTGCAGCAATATCCTCTTACAGTATTTTTACTACAACACATGGTGCTATTAAGGTAGCACACTGTAGTATTATATTTATGTTTAATGTAATTTTGTATGAATGTTTAAAAAAGCAATATTTCTAGAAGCACTGAAATACACCCCCCACAAGCCAATTAGCTGCCTTTCTTACTTTTCCTAGTCATTTGATATAGTTCATAGCAAAAGCAGCCTTAAATAAGCTGCTGCTTTTATGTTAAAGAACTAGTAAATGCAAAGGTATGTTGTGTCAAACTGAACAATCAAACTACTACAGACCATAGTTACCTGAGTCCAAGATGCCTTTGAATTTAAGACAACCCCCTCCCCCCCACACAGTATTTAGATTCTACACATGGAAAATTTGTAAAATAATAAAAAATGCCATGGATAAAATCTAATTATTGAAGGGTTGGTTTACATTTGCCCTCCCCCCACTGCTGTGACAGGGAAAGCAGCGATGGGAGCAGGTAGAGGGGTGACAAGCAGTGGAGTCGTCAAGCAGCCTGACCCCCCTCCCCACCTGCCACTGGGGTGCCATCCTGCTGCCTGCATCTCTTGGCACCCACTCCTCTCCCCTGGGCCTGTGTCCCCTGGTGTCTGCCCCCCACTACCACCTGCCGCCTCTGTGCCTTCCCCTTTCCTGGCAGGGCCTGCTCCCCCTTGCCACTTGCTTCCCTAACAGTACTTAACCTGAGACTCAGCTCCAGCCTCACTCCAGCCCAGGGCACAAAGCACCTACTGGCTCTAGCCTGGCTATGCAGCAGGAGCTGAGATGATGGCAGCTCCAGCTCCAGGCCTGGAGTTGAGGCCCGAGCTGCCATCACTGCAACCACAGTTACCAGGCCAAGCAGGAGCCAGAACCAGCAGGTTGCTCCATGCTCCGGGTCAGAGCTGTTGGGGGGAAGGTGAGAGGGAGGGGTAGGCAGCAGGGGCAGATGTGAGGGACAGGGCATTGCAGGGCAGAGGTGGGGAGCTGCAGGGCTGGCAGGGAGCAGAGGTAGTGGGGGACAGAGGTGCAGAGGTGGGTGGCAGGGCCAGAGGCAGTTGGGAGAAGGGCAGTGGCTATGGCTCTGAAGTCCCCCATGAGAACCAGAGCCTGGAAACTTCTGCTATCTGTCTGAAGAAAGCCTCATCCTCCTGGTGTGGTGGTCTATAGCTGGCACTCACCACAACTTTACCCTTGTTGCCCTCCCCTCTGCCCCTAACCCAGGGACTTCCAACAGGCCTATTTCCAGTTTCATACTGTCCCTCTGAATAATCATACAATCATAAAGTGAAACTCCTCCTCTTCTCCCCTGCCTGTTCTTCCTGAACACTATATCCCATCCATCACAGTACTTCAGTCACTTTTAGTCTATTGTTTCTTTCTAATTAAGAATACAACATGGGATAAAAGCTTCCCAATGCTTCTTGTTGGAGGAAATTGACTGACTCAGAATCTGTTCTGTCTTCCATTGTAAAAACAGAGGCACATCCACACCTCTGGTCTGCTTTGCAGTGCAGGCAGAATGAGGGTGCAGCATTTTTGGTGGGAAATGACATCCATGTTTCCATGGCAGTCTTTTTCACTGTAGTGGATTATTGTTTATTGGTTTCATAGAAGAAGTGTCATATTGGGGAGAGTTTTGAATGCAGACAAAGGAAGCTATTTGGTATACAGAGGCTCATTCAAATATCTTATTTGCATTTAGGTTTGCTGTTCAGGTCTTCTAAGCACAGAACAGCATCGGCAATGATGGGCAGGGGGAAGGGAGCTAGAACGGTGCTTTTTTTATCTTTTCTGGGTGGCTGGCCAGAGTATTAGAATCTGCTACAGTTGCACAGAAACTGTCCATTGAAAGCATAACTTATCTGGAATTTCTTACTCAATTTTATTTTTTATTTTACACTTAATGGAATAATGTGTTGAACTTCAGGAAACCTGCTGCAGTGTTTACCATTTTGTGGCTTACAGTTAAAGCCACCATAGCCCCTTGTCATAATTTGTAATTTTCTTTTATCTGTGCCTACCTAGCTCTTTCCATGAATTTTATCTGAATAGATTTTATTATTGAAGTTTCAAGGGTACTTCCCATTATCAGACCATTAGCTGTAGAACTTAATAAAAATATAAATGCAAGACAGAATTTTGCATGAGAGACTGAGGTGAATTACAATATTTCATTACCAAGGATTCTGATTAAATTAAACTAGGTTTTAAGTCATATGGCATTAAAGGGAAATGAAAAGTTACTGTAACTGAAAAAAATCAGTGAAAACTGAAAAACGACACGTCTCTTTCAATTTGGAGATGATAAATACCACAAGTTGTGTCAAGTAATAAGACCACTACATACGAATAAACAACTAAGGGGGCAGTTTCAATAGTCTCCTCCTAATCTCCTCATGACTTGTAACAACAATAAGCAAAAAGTGCATGTTTTGGTCTGAGAAACTCTTGCAAAAGTCAGTGATTCAAACTCATGACATAAAGAAATAAACTCTGAGTATCTGGGCTTTGTTGTGTTTTTTTGGTGGGGAACACAATTTTGGGGGGTTTTTGTTTGTTTGTTTTTGGTTGGTTTTTTTTGGTGTTTGCTAATAAAGCCATGATTGTCATCAGCCTATGTTACTTTTGAGGAATGTTGAGTAAAACCTATTATGATCTCCATAGAAGTACTACTGTGATAAGCTTGATATATGACAGGCAGATAAATATATGGATGTACTTGCAGATCATGCAAATTGTATTGACTTTTTCCAAGCCACAACCATGGCTATTCTTCTCCTGAACATTTAAGTGCTCCAAACCATTGTGCTAGCACACCAGGGAAGATCCTGTTTCTTTGCTAAATTGACCTTTTATGTCAAAGAAAAAAATAAAACTATAATTCGTCACATGCCGCAATGAGTTCAAATCCCTCTCTACCATTTTATATTTTTCTCATTTTGCAAAAATCCATAATTACAGCATAATACCTAGTTCTGAACTACATTGGTAAAACTAATGAACTTTAATACTCTTTCCTTCCTTTAATTTTGAATAATCTAAAAGAGCAGGTATTACATCTTGTATGATCTTGAATTCCATGTGCTAAATTTCAATCAACAGCAAGTTTTGTGGCTGGCTTCTTTAAATGGAAAATATTGCAGATTTCCAATTAAAATTACACTACCAGGCACCACTGTAATAATCTTGGTTTCTAGCAACATAAACATATTCAAGAGGGAAGTTAGATTACATTTGAAGATGGAAGGTACTGATAGTGCAAACTGAAAAAACAGCAAAACCCTACAGTTGTTTATATGCACCCTTCATATTGTTTATACTAATTTAATCCAAATGCTCAGAGAAGCCCAACAGCTGGTGTGTCATAGAGATCAAGTCTACATGTTTTTAAATTATTTTAGTTTAGTGAAGAAAGTCTAGTTAGCAACCACTCAGACTGAAATCTTGTTTATGTAAAGACAGACATCTGCAACATATAAAAATTCTTACACTGCCCCATTCTGGCAGGCACATCTATCTTTAAGAAATGAACAATTTTCTATGCTCACCTAATCCTTAGACTTTTTTGTAGAATATGCCAGCTGTAGTGTGACACATCCACCAGGACTGTAACTAAAAGTTCAAATATGGTACCAATGGCTTTTGACCCACTGGTCTGGGCTGGATTAGAACCAGTGATCAACACCTGATTGGTTCACTTTACTATAGCAATCTGCTGATGTTTTCAATCTACCAAAATACCTTAGTAACAGCTGGAAGAGCTGATGCCCAAGCCACCTTTTGGGACAATCTGGGGAATCCAATAGCTTTCCTCAGATAGCGATCATGTATCTCGCAGGTGTTGAGGATATAGAGAGAGCAAGCAACAGCATAACCTCCCCAGTTAGAGACCCCTGCAAGAGAAAGTTGCTATGAAATTCAACCGAAAAATTAAATGTAAAATCTTAAAGAAAAAAAAAGCAAGTGAATGTAATCTGCAAGTCCCAAAGCAATATCAGTTGAATCTCGAAGACTAGGAACAGAGACTGCATTTGTTTCTGGATAAATTGTGCCTGTGTTTGTCCTCGAACAAAAGTATCTTGCCTGCACATCATCCTTCTAATCAGGGTTAGTGAGTGCTTTTCTGCCTTTGATTCAACAATGCAATCACAGGTAACTATACAAAAGTACATTGCAGTATCTTAGGATAAACTGTTACTATCCCCTATCTGGGAAATGCTTTTAGCATTTATCTCAGGAAAACAGACATTGGTGTCTCTATGACTGTACTTTGTCTCAGAATAAATGTGACATGTTTGCAGCCAAATGGTGGTAAGAAAGGTAGGGGGAGGTGTAGGAAAGGCCTAAAAACAGTTATTTGGAACTGTTAGAGGTTTTTAATACCTCACATATGACACTATGTACACTAGTTTGCTACATCCTGGGTGTGTCTGTCTACACATGCATTTACTTCAGCCTAGATGTATGCTACTGCACAGTGGGTGCATCTATACGTGGCCCTACAGTGCCATTGTTACTGCACTATGCCAGCTGCGCACAGTTATTTTTAGCTGCTATGTGGCTGTGGCAATGTGCTATAATGGGGGAACACATTGCTATGGTGACATAGTTGCACCATCATGGTTTTTGCCCACCAACGCTGTCACTGTAGCATCATGTGTAGACGCGCCCAGTAAGGATTTTTGGGTAGGTGTCTACACATGCAGGGATTAGCGAGTAGATTTGGTCCCAGTTCCCTGCAGCCATGCAATATACCCCTGCCACCACCAGGGGGAACTCCAGGCTCCCTCTGGATCAGGGGTGGGCAAAATGCAGCCCGCGGGTGGGATGCGGCCCACCAGGCCATTCTATCTGGCCCACAGGGCCCCTCAAAAATTTAGAAAATTAATATTTATTTGCCTGTAGCTGCCTTTCATGTGGCCTTCAATGGCTTGTCAAAACTCAGTAAGCAGACCTCCACCCAAAATAATAGCCTGCCCTGCTCTGGGTGCTAGCCCAGGGGCTGGCAGGGAACATCCTGCTGCTGGGGTGGGCACAATGTCCCACTGCTCTGGCAGCAGGGAGCTCCTGGCCCTGGCTTCCCAACCAGAGGCACAGGGCTTAGAAAGAGCTGCGGAGGAGGGGCAGTTCCCAGCCCCCTGGCCTGATCCACCAGTGGGGCAGCTAGCAGCTAGCTCACTGCTAGCTGCCCCACCAATGGATTGGGGCAGGGGGCTGGGACCTACTCCACCCTTGCAGCTCTTTCCAAGTCCCATACCTGAATCACCTCATTGGGGCATGGGGCTGGGACCTACCCCTGACTGAAACAGTTCCTGGCCAGCCCCCACCTGCATGGGAAAGTCTGCATGTGCAGCCTGGAGCTGGCTGGGGATTGCCCAAAACAGGACAGGCTGTACTGCTCAACAGGACTGGGGATTTCCCAAAACAGGCTGTACTGCTTCCCTGTGAAGCCTGGGTCTGGCTGGGACCTGTCCTGGTCTGGGGGCAGGTCCCAGCTAGCTCCAGGCTGGGCAGAGAACTGTCCCCATGCAGGAAGCTCCCAGCCCCTGCTCCATGATTACAATTGCAATCATGGAGCAGGGGCTGGGGAGCTTGTTCCTAGCCCCCGCTCTGCGATCATGGAGCAGGGGCTGGGAACAAGCTCTCAGTCCCCACCTTGTGATTGCAATCAGAGAGTGGGGGCTGGAAGTTCCCTGCTGCTGGGGCAGGGGGACATTGTCTCCACACAGGCACACAGGGTGGGGCCTGGGAAGTTTGTTCCCTGCCCAGCTCTGTGAGCATGGAGCTGGCGGGGGCAGGGGGAAACAAGCTCCCCAGGCCCCGCCAGCAGGGAGCTCCCAGGGCCGGCTCTGCAATCGTAGGGCCACTACTGGGAGATAAGGGTCTCCCAGCTCCCCACTCCCCAATCATGATGGCAAAGCAGGGGCTGGAAGATAAGGATCTCCCAGACCCCACTTCCCAATTGCAATCTTGGAGCAGGGGGCTTGGAGCTCCCTACTGCTGAAGCAGAGGGACATAATCCCCACCTGGGCTCCTTTGGCAATGCCTGCCCAGGCAGCTATCTCCTGCCCCCTAGTGGACGGCTGCCTGGGAGCAGATTTTGCTCCTGGTATCTACACGAGCACTATGGTGCCATTACTAATGCCAAGTAAATTTGCTACTTGCATTTTCAGGTAGCAAATTTACTCAGTATTAGGGAAGTTGGATGAGAAGTAAGCATGTGCATGTGCTTACACACAAGTACTTTGCAGTAAACTATACTAATGCAACGTTAAGTGTCTTGCGTAGATGCACCCTCTGAGAAGTTATCTGTTATGTGATATAGTTTTATGCTTTGAAATGTACTATGTTGAAAAACTCAGCTGCAAGTGCTACAGATGAGTAAAGTCTAGCCTTTATGATTACTAGTGATGTAGAGAGAATCACAAAAAATAAATTATGAACCAATAGTAGAACACACGTTTTGATGCATTTTAATGGTGTAGTTTTCCCTGATGCCTGCTTTGGACTGAAATAGTCTATAAGAATAGCTGTGTATTGTATGATTAAATGTACCACAGATTTTCTATTTTTAAAATATAGTACAGTTTATTTTTATTCTTACAGGAACACTCTAAGGAAAAACATTTCACATGGAATTCTATAGCCCCAACAAAATTCTCCAAATTAAATTTAGATGACTTATGTTGCACCATTTATATCATACACTTCTTGGCATTCCTGTAACATCAGTTCTTTAGTGTACATAGAAAGAGTACTGGGGGGTAATGGGGGTCATTTTAATACTCTGGGACTGAGTCAAGAATAGAGCTTGAGAATCTTGAGCAACATATTTTCTCTCATTTGGCTGATACAATAATTTTGCCACTCCAATTCACATTTATTCTTTAGGATTCCTTTTGTATTGGTATGTGTTGTATGCTACATTTATGTATTTATTTTAAAGGTGAGCAAAAATATTAGCTGATGGTTTAAACATTTATTTCAGATTAAATTGATACAGGTTTACATAACCCCTACTTTAGTTTTGCATTGGGGTTTGAAACAAAGGCAAACACTCAAAAGGCAAATAGTTAAAAAAGAATTCCACTTCTTTTGTGAGACATGAATCCTATGTATCTTTCACTTAACCCAGTTTTGCCGTATTTTTAGCAAACTTAGGCTACCTGACCAGATTTTGATACAAAAATCAGAAACAAACTGAGTTTTTGTCACTTAGAAAAAGTCAATGTAGAATTAACTGCAACATACTTGCTATATTTTCACTTCTTTTTCATTAAACATTTTTCTTTTTACTTACCAGCTACAATAGTGAAATCAGCTTCAACATCACAAGCTATAATATCTCCATTTTTTATGTGCTTTTTTACGGCTTCTTTTACTTTCCCCATTCCCAGTTCATTTCCTCCATCTCCAATGCCTTCATTAAAAGGAAAATAGATTGTATGAGTACCAAACTGTATCTAACAAATATAAACTCCTTTATAATCTATCCATTGCCTTTCACAATAGCTTGTTTATAGTTCTGTTCTCCTTTCAAGCTGAGTGCTTTCCTATTTTCAGAAGTGCCACAAAACAGGAGATCATAAAACATAGGTGGAGGTGTAATGATATTATGTACTTATCTGTAAGATGTTACAGATGTGTCGTAATTAAACATACAAGCTGCAAACAACAAAAGGATGATATTTTCATACCCTCATGAAGAGATACTCTGTCTAACAGAAAGTAGCGGAAACACTTAGCTAAATGTCCTATAATACAATATTGTATAGACAACATGTGAAACATGAAACGTAACTGCAGTCATTTGGAAAATGCAACTTATGCTGTTAGTATAGAGAAAATAAAACAAATAGTAACAGTTTTTGTACAAATATAGAAAAAGTTTACACAATGATTTGGGGAACAGCGGGAGCTCTTTTGAAAGAACTTAACAATTTGTTCTACCAGAGATGTAACAGGGCAGCTCTCCACCCAAGGCAGTGTTGGCTATAGGGCTGCTGGTAGCTACAAAAGTTGCTGTTTGGGCACCCTTACTCCCTCCTAAGTGGGCACCCAGTGTTGCTGCCCTTGTCACCCCCACTTATTTATGCTACTGGGTCCCACTGTGCCATTATATATAGAGACCTCTTGCTTTTTCTGCTTATTTTCCAACCATTTTTCTCCATGGTTTGAGAACTACACTTTCTCAAAAGTAGCCTCTGATTTTGGGTGTGTGTGTGTATGTGTGTATATATATATATTAGGTGTTCAACTTGATTACTGCTCGTCTTTCATAAAAGTAAAGTATCTTCAGTCTCAGTAAAGCCAATAGTAACTGTATAACTGGGCATGTTCGGAGGAAAAAAATGTTGGCTGTCCCAGGTGTCACATTTTAGGCATCCAAAAATAAGGCACTTTTGAAAAATACATTGGATAATCAGAACTTTAAAGAACACAATGCCATATAAATGATTACATATCAATCTGAGCAAGTTCACAAAATCTGCCTCTTAGTGTCAAATAATTATGCAGTCACACACACTACCTAATCAGGAATTGACATATTTCAGTTATTTGTTAATTTAAAACTGATATTTTGGAGTTTGGAGATTAAGGAAAATTACTCATTTGTATTTTGTAAAATAGAAAACATTTATATTTACAAAACAGTACTGTGCACCAAATTCTTCATTATTATCTATTGTTTTAATAACTGAAATGTGTCTGGTTGTTAATGCATGTTACATAATAAAAAATAAGAATGCAATTAATAAAGTATGATCAGTGGAATCTTAACTGAAATTTGATAAATGCAGAATTTTTCCAGAACTGTATTTGTGAGTGCATGTAATTTATATGACAAGTTGAAAGCTATTTTTCAACAGGAATGGACTATTTAGTTCCAAACTTCTGTATTTTCAGATCGAGACAGGACTGAGCCCTGAGAAGATGGTGGGTTAAGTCATTAAGTCTCACACAGATCCATTCAAAATGAGCATAAATTTTTTGGTGACTGTCTGATGTTTGGCCCACATTTTGTTTGCTTCTTGCCATTCAGTTTACTCTACCTTTTACCCAACAACTTCTGCCTCAGTATTCTGTTCAACTCTATAGCAATACAGGAATGGAATATTGAATCTTATTTTATTCACTTATTAAATAATTTGCTTAAATCGTTCCTTCATTTTGCTGATACTACATTTTAGGTGTGGATTCTCTGGAGAGCAACTCAAATGGTTTTGGGTCTGCCTTTATCTGATCTTGATGAAATGATGATTGTTGTACTGTAAGCACCTGATACATAGATTTCTTGCCTCCAGGGACAAAAAAATAAAATAAAATCACACAATTTTAGGGGTTTTTTTTAAATTAACTCTTGCCTTTTAATGATATTACATAGTTTCTATAGTTACAGATACTAATCCCAAGGGCTTACCTCCATTTTCCCTTGCTTTACTGTGGGATATCTGTTTCAGGTATGGTTGTTTAGTGGTAGGATGTATTGTTTTGGATATATCCCACTGGTTAACCTATTCGTGGGCAGGGAGAGATTTCTCGTCTTCCTCATAGAGATTTCTCCTTCGTTGATGGCTTACTTCCTTTCCCTACTTTTCTGCATGTCATACTCATACTTTAATGGCTCCTTCCTTATGAGCCCAGCCTTCAGGAAGTAGTGCTGGGGAAGCAGATATGTGGTTGTCCTCTGGATTTTCTAAATGAGCTTTCACTGTCTGTCTTAAGTCTTGAAGCCATGATAGCTAAACTTGTCTAAAATGTCAGCCCTTTGTGCCATAAAATACAAAGAAAGAACAAAAAGCTTGACTGTTTTTTATTCAGACCTTTCAGTATTTCATTAACTGCTGCTAAAGGGATCATACAGAAGCATCATCAGCACTAAGACTCTAAGTCGAGGGTGGCATGGGTAGCCTCTGTACAGCGCACAACACTTTGGGGAAGGAACAGACACCACAGTGGCAAATAGGGCAAGAAGCAGAAAGCAGAACATTATGCCAGGCAGAAACCACAGTGTAGGAAGTAGAAGTCAGAGCAGCAGCTTGGTTATGGAGCAGAGTGCAGAAAGTAGAAAGCTGAATAAAGTACAGTAGAGGTGGCTTACAGTTGCACGATCTGGCCTCCAGTGCTGCCCCTGGATCTGGAGTTGACCCACATGGTGCACACTGGACTGGCCCCATGCACAGGGCCCAGGACACATGTTGCACTTGGTGCCCACTCCAGCCAGGATGCACTGCATGTGGCACCCCACCCTCACCTGGTTTGGAGGAGGGTGTCTGTAGGCCTGATTCAGCCTATGGGGCTGGCTATGCACCATTCATCCGGCCCATGGATTAGCCCAGGGGTCGGCAACCTATGGCACATGTGCCGAAGGTGGCATGCAGCATGGTTTCTATTGGCACACAGGACTGCTTCCTGCCCAGATCGAGCAGCATGTGGCTGCCCAGTAACAGCCTTGTGCTGCCACTGACCCACGCCACCGACCCCAGCCAGGTAAGAGCCTCCAGCCCCAACCCTAGCCTGGCACCACCCCCGGCCCCGGCCCCGAGCCAGCGGCCGATGGCACTCTGCAGGCCCTGGCCCCGCACTGATGGCCATGTACCACCAGCAGGCCCCAGCCAGCACCGCTGCGGGCCCCAGCCAAGTGCCAGCACTGGACTGGGGCTGTTGGCAGCATCGGGATGGAGCTGGGGCTAAGACTGTGGACATACATGGGCCCTGGCCCCATCCCGGCACTGCAGACAGCCCTAGCCACGTGTTGCTGGCAGGCCCGGCCCCAGCCACCACCACCGCTACTGCCTGCCCCTGCCCAGTGCTGCCACTGGACATGGGCTGTTGGAAGCACCAGGATGGGGCCCAGACACACAAACTTGCCATGTGCTGCTGGCAGGCCCAGCGTCGGCTGGCATCAGCACTGGGCTGGGGAATTCAGCAGCACCGGGATGAGGCCAGGGCCTGGGCCCACAGACCTGCATGGGCCCCAGCCCTATCCTGGTGCTGCCAGTAGGCCCAGCCACATGCTGCCAGCAGGCCCGGCCCCAGCCAGCACCACCGCCGCCTGCCCCGGCCCAGCCCAGCAATGCTACTGAGCCAGAGCCATCGGCAGCGTAGGGAAGGAGCCAGGGTTGTGGACCTGCGTGGGCCCCGGCCCCATCCCTACACAGATGGCTCCAGCTCCATGCTGCCGGTGGGTCCTGGCCCCAGCCCCATGTTGCCCATGGCCCCAGCCATGTGCTGCCAAGCAGCCCTGGCCCCAGCCCCATCCCGACCTCAGCCCTGCTTGGGCCCCAGCCCCATCCCATCTCCACCGACAGCCTCAACCTGCTATATGCTCCTGCTTCTGCTATGTGTGTCCTGCTATGTATTCCTCCACCCTCGTTTTGTTGTTTTGATATGCTGGCACTCCGGCACCTTTCAAGGTAGCCATTGTGGTTTTTTCAGCACTCCGCCAAAAAATGGTGCCTACCCCTGGACCAGCTTTATACCACTCATCCAGTCTGTGAGGCCAGATGAGTTTGATACCCCTGGAGAAGGTAAAGAGATCAAAATGGTACTTATGGAGGTTGCACGGATAATTTGTGGCATGCCTGCCAAAAGGTTGGCCCCCGCTTTCTTAGAAGACCAGTGTAACAAGGGGCCTACCGGGGCTGATCCAGCCGTAGCCTGCCCACCTGTTCTTGGGCTAACCACCTGCCTTCTCACCCACCACATCTTGGTCTTAATTGATTAATTAATAGATGTACTTAGGCAGGAGGCTGCCCATTTACTGCCCCGCTGCTAGGGGGTGCTATCTGTGGCTCCATTCCTCCCCTACACCGCAGCCCAAGCCTCGCAGATGACCTCATGATGTTTTCAAATGCACTAGTCCTCCGTGATGGGCCCCAGAATCCTGCTGTAGGACCCCACCTGGTTTCCTCCCTTCAGGCGGACACTGCTGCCGTCATACCGGGCCACATATCACCCTGCCATCAGTTCCCCTTCGGGTGTGGTCCCCTCACTGGCACCTTTGGCTCACACTAGCCCCGGTCCACCTCCAGGCTGGTCAGGACCCCAGGCACCTGGGTGTCCCTCTTGGTGGGCCTCCTTGCCCTTCTGACCCTCCTGGTCCTAGCCCCCGCCTGGGCCAATCAGGGGAAGCTCTGGCAGGCCTTGCTGTATGACCCATACTCTTATCCCAGGGTCCCCCTCTCTGGGTCCTTCTCCACAGATGTGGGGAGCTGGGGTTACCTCACACCATGACTGGTACCTCAGGGTCTCGCAGGGGACTCTCACTCCCCCCCTGGGTAGCAGGTCATGGTGCTGCTACCAGTGTTATATTTGACCCAAACTCTGACTCCCCGCATTGGAGGACTTACTGGGTCAGGACTCAGCTCTCTCTCTCTGGCTGAGCCCCCTCTTCCTTCACAGGGCTCCACACTCTTCCCCCCTCACACTGGGGGCTCCACACTGCTCATAACACCCCTTTTACTCGGGGTCTCAGGGTTTCCCTCCACAGGTGGGCTCAGGTGGCCATAGCCATGCCTGGCCCCAACTCTCCTCCTCGGTGTCTCGAACCCCCGCAGGGCTCAGGCAGCCTTGGCCACACCTGGCCTCCAACTCTTCTCCTCGGGGCTTGCACCCCCACAACTACCTCTGGTGTATGTGACGCAGCCGAAGGTGAGGGCTAGGAGTTAAGGCACCCCGACCCACCTTTCACCAGGGTGATCACTGGCCTGGCATTTCCTGGGGGGTCTTGTGCCACTGGGAGCCCAACCAGGCCACCTACTCCCAGCAGGGTGTAGTTTCAGGTTGTACCCAGGACCAGGAGCCTCCTACCATCCCCTACAGCTCCTCCCTTACCTCCAGATGAAACTCGACAGACCTGTGGCCAGGCGGTGTTGTTGCCTGACCTCCAGCAGCCAAACTGCCTTGTTTATACAGGCAGCTCTGAGCCTAAAACGGTTGCCCTCAATAGGCACCTGGAGGCTGCCAGCTCCAGGGCCTTCAAGTGGCAGGCACACATAGTGCCCTGCCACAATCAGCATGATCTTTTCAGAACATAATCGTTTAATGATCTATTTCAGTACATCTGTGCCACACCTACTGTGCCCCTATTTGTTCACATAATTCTCACTTTGACTAAATCTGCTCCTGAGGGTCCACATTTGCTTTATACCCTCTTATGACTTTGGTATTCAGAGAAGCTGTGGATGTTGTTCATAATTTAGCTATAGTCATACTCCCAGGCTAAGGGATTATTTTACATAGTGAATTGAATGCAATATACTTGAATCTTGTTTTTTAATGAAAATGTTGACAATAGTATATCAAGGTAAATACAGGCAGCAATGCTCCAACACACTCATATTGTCCATCTGTCAAAACAGTGTTCCTTGCAACTGAATATGCTGTTATGCTAAGAGTTCTTTTCTAATCCCTTTCTATTTTTTACTCAATACTCAAGCCAGCCATACTCAAGAGATCACACCTGTCATACGCACTATAACATTTCTAGCAACTCACACTCTGTATTTAAATCAACAGTTTCAATGTTCTCTTTAATGTAGGAAAAAAAAAAAAAAAAATCAGGCTTTCAAATCTTTCCTCCTCATCATTAGCTGAGATTGGTACTCCACTAAGAACTGTACAATTATGCAAAAAAATTTCATCCCCTCACTAAACAGCTATGATCAAATTTAAGACCAGATACAAGAGGTTAGTGTGACAAACAAGAGGAGGGAAGGCGGCAAATGGAAAGAATAAGATAGAGTATTGCTCTAAAGATGCTCAATTACTTTGTCAATATGCAATTTTTACCCAACTTTATAGGAGATCTTCTCAGATTATCCACTGAAGTCAATGGCTGACCCAGAGTTCTGGAATATTTAACTACTAAGCAAACCCTGTTTAGAAAAAAACACCACCCTAGATAATCCTTCTTTCTGGATTATTACTGCCATACTGCTAATTATATTAGAAAGGTTGTCTATTAAGTCCTCCTCTTTTAAAATGCCTCTCCAGAGAAATTTCAAAATACAGTATAGGAGACAATGACTTGGATTCACTACTTCCTTAATTTATTTATTTTTTATTCACAAAGTATTGTTTCTTGGTTCTTCTTTACTGAAGTTTTAAAAGGATGTTCTAATAACTCTGAAGTTTTTTAAATTAAACAGTACTGGTAAATAGTGTCAGTTTGTATGTCATGGAGCCTGAAGTTTGTGCAGTATAAAACTTCCCCAAATCAACAATATACTTTAATTCTAGAGTAAAAGTCTCAAGGGATCAGGATACTTTATTGAATATTCTCCATGTGTTTGATGTCATACTGAGGAGGAGCTAAGTCCCTCCACCAACTACCTTAAAACATAAAAATCACATGTTTACATCTTTGTGTCTGTTTTTAAGTCAAAGATCTAACCAGTTTGAATGCAGCAGACATTTTTGAGGTATTTTATTGAAGGGGTTTATGGAAGAAGTATAACTCTATCATAGCCATTTAATCCTTGGACTCTTTGCTGAAAGAGTCAATAGGGTACTAACTATAACGGTGGCTTCATTACTAGAAAATGTTTTCACATGGAATTGGACTGAGACTAGCTACACATTTCACCACATTTATCAGGGCTTTAAAATAACAAACATACAAGAGTTTGGTTCCTCTGGTTTTTTCATTCTGCCTTCCCCAAAACAAGGTAGATTTCTTATATGAGGGGCATGTGCTATGTGAGAAAATACAGTATTTGTAGTAAAGATCTTTGCATAGTTTATCTGCATGGGAATTTTCTAAGACGTCCTTCTTAAGGATAGAGGTGGCCTATTGTATAATTTTAGAAATATGGTAACAACTTGCTTTTCAGGGTTACCCTACTATTTGCAGTAGGGGGAAGAACACCATGCTACTAACAGTAATACTTAAATATCTTTGTTCATGCTAAAAGTTTTGATAAAAAGTTTCATAAGGAGCCCTACTTCTATTATGGTAGGTCCCAGTTAGGAGAAGACCCCACAGGGCAGTGTAGCCATGCCTCATTTGTTCACATACCATACTCATCTTTCCCCAAAAAATTAGCAGTTGAAACTTGGGATATGTATCTTAAATGACGGAACTGATTCTGAACCGTTTGGTTAAAATTAAAAAATCTCTCTCCCCTTTCATTCTGCCTTCCCAAAACAAGTTACATCTTATTTGGGGCACATGGTATGCAAATAAATACAGTATTTGCTACTAAAAAGAGCTTGCAATATAAAAGGACTACATAAGTGTAGCTAAGAGTCTTTTTAAATTTTGACATTTCAACAATCATAAAAAGAACACGAACATGTAAAATTTATATATTTTCATTCAGTGATTTAATGGTGTATACTAAGGACTGCGAGGAGTTGATGTACTTCAGGCTGTGTACATACATATACATCCTGGGCATAATTCTGTTTCCATTTGTGTACCTAAATGGTAGTTTTCTAACTCTGTACCTGAGTAATTTTTGTACTTACCCAGGCATTGTGGATGTGCAAGTGTGTGCATATAGACTAAGCATGCATAACAGGGTCTGTATTGACTGGGCACCTGTACACATACCCGAGTATAAGTCTTGGAATACATGGGGTGGGGTGGGATGGGGATGTAGTAATAACATTATGATACACTTAATAGATCAGCCTCAAGATTGTAAGTTTCCAAATTTGATTGATTTTTGTTTTCCTTGTGTGTTAGATCCTTCAGTGGGAGCATCACACCTACCTGTTGTTGTGACTCCAGGTATTGTCCGTGCTGCTATAAACAATTCATCTATGGGATCCACCAGATGTTTAATATTAATTTTCCTTGCATTGTAATAATTGCCATCAGCAGCCATCCCAGCTCGCTCTATTGCTATGAGGTGATCAAATCTGGTCAGAAATAAAGTGATAATTTATTTTAGTTGGGGTCAGCCCTTTTGGCAGGCATCCCACAAATTGGTCCTGTATCCTCCCCAAGTGCCATTGTGACACCCTTCCCCTGCCTGATGCAGAGTTCTACATTCTGCTCTCAGCCCTGTGCTCTCCGCCCAAACTGCTCCTCTGCTTCCTTCCCTGTGCTCTCTGCCTGATCTGCCACTGTGCTCCCTGCTCCCTTCGTGATCTGACACATGCCACACATGGGTGGCTGGTGCCACTTGTGACCACCCCGATTTAGCTAATGGAGGCGAGTCTCAGATGTAAAGCTTATATCTTAGACTCTACTGTCAGGTACTTTCCCCACCCCTGTTCCTTCTGTCCACTTATGGTAATTTACATTCATTTTATACAGCCACAGAATGCTAAAATGGACTTCTTAGTGTACATTTACTTCCGACTTACTCCCAACAAATAATTTAGCCCCAGTATGTGTCACTCGAGAATTTAATCCTGTATAGTTTAGTTACAACGTTTCATTTTGTTTTCTTGATGCCAGCAGCAAATGGAGTAACAACTGAAACTCTCCACAACTAATGGAGCTTTGGGTGAATCACTTTGATGTGCCTTGCTTAGAAAATTAAGTAATACCTCCTACAGGAGTGTTGCTTTGCAGACACTAAGAAATTATAAGCATTTTAAGATCTTCCTAAAGAGGTTCTTAAAAGTTCAGTTCATTGTAAATATAATCCCAATCTGAAGTACTGCAGTGCTTGTAAATTATTCAGTTGTTTCATGGCTTTCATTTCGTAATTTTGGCAAACTTGTTGCTTGTTAAAGTGAACATGTGCAAGGTCTATTTTAGGTCCTTGCTTAAGACTCTTCTTCTGTGTTCTGCCGCTGTATCTTGAACCTAATATGCAACACCTCTGCCAGGCCAGTTCTACCGAACACATTCAACTGAATAGAATCTACTGAGTTCTAATTGTGCCAAGTTAGTCACTGTTTTTACAGATATCTACCATAAGCCCACAAGACTTCATGCAACTGAAGTTCCTATATAAAAATATATATATATATTCAGTTCAAGTATATTTTTTATATACTTGGGATTAAGGGATCGATTGAGGTAGAAACTAGCTGTCACTAAATTATGCTCCCTCCTGAGTCTAATGCCTGAGAAATGAAGATAATGATTTGTTGAAACTGCAGTATATATTAACCTGAAGAAAGAAATGGGACTAGAATGAACTGAAGAAATATATATTTAGATAAGTCTTCTTTAAAGAGAATTGGCTAAAAGAATGCAACTGTGACTCAAAAAGGTCAAAAAAGATGAAACACTAAAGTCTATTAAAAGGAGCCTATTAAGTCTCTGGCGAGATCCTTAAATGTATATGTACATTCTTTTACTCATATAAAAGGATGACTTTAAATAAAAATGTGATTTGTTAAATATAGCAATTTAAAAAAAATCAAAATAATTAATTACAGGCTCTTCATTCTGTAAGGATTTGTTTGCAACCATTATATTGCATGTGATCATGACTTCTCCTGTTACTAGGACTTTACATAGCCCCAGTCCTCTCACTTTGGCTAGTGACAGAAGTTACACATAAACAGATTAAAGTGAGCAGAAACTGGTTTAAACCTGTAGCAGAATGCAAGTTCAGTGCACATAAACCAGTTTCAAAATGGCCAAAACTGGTTTGAGATAAACCTGGTTGAATGCAGTATCAGACTTAACTGACTGAGCTCAAATCGGTTTATGCAATTTCTGTCCCAGACCCCTTCCTGGTTTAAAGTTAAGCCAGAGTCCCCCAGGATCCCAGCATAGTTTCTGGACTGGGCTGTGCTGTTTGCTCCAGCAGAACAGGACTGGCCCTGCCCCTCTGCTCCCTAGCCAGAGCAGGGACAGGCAGGGGTGGGGACCTGGCCAGAGGCTGGCCCCCTCCCTCTCCTGTCTCACCAGTGCAGACTTGCATTTACCTGCTCACTGCTCCAGCGGCAGGGGCATGGCCAATCACAGCAGTAGCTTGGAGTGAACTGGAGGGGGTTTAATTCCCTCCTCCTTGCCCCATTGGCACAGAACTGGGCCAGGGTCTACCAGGTGCTCCCTCACCATTGCTGCAGTGGCGGTGTTGGGGCATAGCCAAATGCCAGCAGGCATTGCCCCCTGAGGCAGAGTGGGCAGGAAGGAGGGTTATTCCCCATTCTACCCCTATTGCCCCCAGGGGACCACAGCAGGGTCTGCCTTCCCCAACCACCACTGCTGCCACTCATTCCCTCTGTGCAGTGAGTAGCAGGATAAGCCCACTCCTGCCCCCTCCACTAATGCCAGAGGGAGGGGGTAATAACCCCTCTCCCTCCTCCTCGCCTAAGGGACCCTGCTGGTTGGCTTCTGGATGCCCCCCCCCCAACCCTGCCACTGGAGGACAAGGGGGCAAGGCCCTAATGGGGCAGCAGCCCCTGTCCTGGTGTCCAGGGAGCGTGAGTCTTCCCAGCATGGGGACTGCAAGTGGGAAGTCAGAGCTGCTGTGGACTGTGCAGGGTAAGCAGTGGCACTAGTGGGGCTTGGGGTGCTATGGCCCCCTCCAAGCGCTAGTGCTGCCACTGCTTGCCCCACACAGTCTGCAGCAAGTCCTCCCCCACCCACAGCACAGCCCCCCACCAAGAAGAGGCTCGGACTCCAGGACACTGTGACAGGGGCTGCATCCCCCTGTCAAAGTTGCTCATGCCTCATTGCTTCAGCGGTAGGGGTGGGGCCAGAGGCTGGCCAGGATGGCCCCCTTAGGTGGGGGGCAGGGAGAGGGGTTATTCCCCACTCCCTCCAGCATCTGGTGGAGGAGGCAGAAGGGGGCTTATCCCACCATTCACTCACTGGTTGGGGAAAGCAGCCTCCACCGTGGTACCCCGGGGTCAGAGAGGGAAATAACCCTGCTCCCTGACCCCTGCCTAAGGGGGCCACGCTGACCGGCCTCTGGCCCCGCACCCTGGAACTGCAGGGATAGAGCAACCCTGAGGGGGGCTGCAGCCCCTGTCATGGTGTGAGTCTTTTCATGGCAGGGGGCCACGCTGCAGGCAGAGGGCCCATGCTGCGGGGCAAGCAGAGCTGCCACAGACTGCATGGGGCAAGAGGCGATGGTGCTAGGAGGGCTTGTGGGGCTATAGCCACTGTTCACCCTGTGCAGTCCACAGCAGCTCTGACACCCCACTCATGCCCCCAGCCCCTCCCTGGGAAGTGGGTCACACTCCCCAGACATCAGGAGAGAGGCTGCTGCCCCATCAGGGTCCTGGCCCCTCACTGCTCAAGCAAGAGGGTCAGGGGCCCAGCCAGAGGCCCCTTGGGTAGGAGGGTCATTTCCCTTTCCCTTCAGCATCTGGCGGAGGGGGCACAAGCGGGCTTATCCTGCTGCTCACTCCATGCAGGGAGCGAGCAGCAGCAGTGGTGCCAGTTGGGGCAGGCAGACCCTGGCTCTGGTCCCACAGGGCTGTGGGGCTGGAGGGGGCAATAACCCCCCTTCCCTGCCCCCTCTGCCTCAGAGGCCATGCCACTTGGCATTTGGCTGTGGTCTGGCCCCACTGCTGTAGCAGCGAGTGGGGAGCACCAAGTGGACCCTGGCCCAGGTCCATACCATTGGGACAGGGAAGGGAAGAGGGAATTAAACTCACTCACTGGCCCATTCACTCCAAGCTACTCCCCCAGCACAGGTTCCCTGCAGCCAAAGGCTGCTCTAGCACCCACTGGCTCCTGGCCTGAGCCACTGCTGGCATGTGGCTGCATTTTGTGAATGTCTATTCACTTGCAGATTGAACCAATCTGGGTAGATTAGACTAACCTGCAAAGATTGAATCAACTCAGGCTCTGGCATTTTGAATGTCTGTCCCTAACCCTTGAGAACATACCTGGGTTTTTTAACATTTCCATCATCACACAAAAACATCAAAGCCGACTCTGAAACATTTCCTTGATAACTCAGCAGAGGGACTGGTGCCTTCAGTATTCCTAAGTCAAACAAAAATTCAGTACAGGTATAATGTATCTTTTTTACATGATCTGTTTGGATTTTCAAAGAACAGAGCATAACTAGTGTGGGCTTCCTGACACAGGGAAGTTCATTCAAATGAAGACAGTATGTGAATTTAAAGAAAAATAGCTTTTGTTAATTACCTTCCCATGTGGGCATTTTTGTTGCGGGGGGGAAAAAAAAAGGTTTTATTCCAAAGTACCTTTATCTATTTCACATTGTTTAGATGAGGACATTACTAAACAATTACCTAAGGGTGTGAATTAATGCAACTCCAACTAAACATCTTGCCCCAAATCTTTTGAAATCCACTTTAGGGCTTGTCTATGCAGGAAGTTATTTTAGAATTACCCTTTTGGATGTTCTCAGTGTGCAGTAAGTACAAGGTAGATTTTTTTTAAAGTGGAGTAAGCCACCTCACATTAAATGGGTGAGTCTACATGTGATGCTATGTTGCTGTAGTGATCTGGTATGGCAACATAGTGTCCACAGGCATCTACACATAACCAGCAGCTACTTCACAGTAATAAGGTCACTGTAGGGCAACATGTAGATGTGCCCAATGTGTATTAAAACTGACTACAAATGGAGTTAGTGCAGAAAAGGCACTGCATGTAAATTTACACTTTAGCTTACTTGGCAACTTCCCTTTGCGGGTAGGTTCTTATATACAGATAAAAAGGGCTTGGGGAGTCAATTAAACCAATACAGAATTAGATATACTTATTCCAGCGTAAGAGAATTCATACAGGGCAGGGGTAACAAACTCAACTGGCCCCGAGGGCTGTTACTGGGGCAGTCCCAAGGACCAACCCCACTGCAGTATCCGTGGCACCAGTCCAACCCGCATATCATGTACAGGCACCAGGGACAGCACAGGGTGCACACTGGCTGTGACGTGGACTAGATCTGGCTCTGCAGACAGCACAGGGACAGTCCAGGGCCCAAGAGCCAGTATGCAGAGCTTATCTGGCGGGCTGCCACTTACAGCACATGCCCTGTGCCAGCCCCCTTTGCTGCCTGTAGTACACAAACTGCATGCAGCATGCATGGGGCTGCGGCTGGCACATGGACCAGATCACACAGTTCTATAAGCCAAATCTGGCCCACAGGCCTTATGTTTGACACTCAGGGATTTAATTAGGAGTAACAATTCCAGAATGGCTCCTTGCACAGGATCATAGACTAGTAGCCCTAAAGTGAATTTAAAAAAATCTGGGGCAAGATGCTCAATTCAAGTCAATGAAATTATGGCAATTTACCATATTTTCTCTCAAACAAACGCGCCTTTTCACCAAAATCAGCCCCCCAAAATTGGGTTGCATGTATTAAACATGAAAGCTATTTTCTTCACTGGAAAAAAAGACACACGGATGGAAACACTGCTTGCCATGCAGCTGCCAATATACCTGCTGTGTGTCTAGTTTAGCCAGGTGAAGGGGCAGTGTCCTGTGTTAACCATCTCACAGCTGTAGCTATTGGCTGAGCACTGTTGCTTGTGCCAGAAGCAGCAAGTGAGCTGCTGTAAGTATCCTAATGTGTCTTGTCATGTAAAGAATATTTTGTTGACAGGAACTTAACATAAAAGACTACTTGCAGTTAAGAACTAATAGTTTTGCTAATAGCAATGCAACGTTCTGGGGCCCAGCCTTGAGTGACAGAAAGTAAGTGCTCCTGGGAACAGAGTGCCCCGAAAGTGTGGTACTCCAGGAGACCATCTGGGTGAGGTGGCAGGCAACAGAAACTTCCTGGTGTGGTAAGAAGTTCCTACCGCCTGCTGCCTCACCCAGATGGTCTCCTGGGATGCCAAACTTCCTGGACTTCTGTGTTCACAGGTGCACGTACTGTCACAGTCAGCCATGACGCCGGAAAAAAAGTGTTGTTTCTACATTCTGCCTTCCAAAAGCAAGGTTTTATTAGGGGGTTGTGGTGGGTGCATTGTAAGTGAGAAAATATGGTGAATTGATTGATTCTCTGGCTCTTTTAGTCTATACACTTACAATACTTCTCATGGCCTTGATCTATTTTAAAAAGAGTTCACTGAAACAGAGTTTGAACCACATCAGCAAATTAAAACTGAGAAAAAACTGCATGCTGTACCTTGCTGAACAGCTTCTTCAATGATCTCTTTAAATAAATTCATGGCTCTCAGGTCTGTTACTATAACAACATATTTCCCCAAGGCCTGCAACATGGCTGCAATAGCAATGGCTCCAGGAGGTCCATCATTCTCTTCAGGTGGTTCATGGTTGAAGTGTGTAGGAAATCCTGTGGTTATAAGCACTGATCGGGCATGTGAAATGGACAGACAAGCCTTTAGCAGCTGATCCTGACAGAACAAGTGTTTCACACCTCGATGTCCTATAAATAATAAAAGCATATTTTTTTGAAGGACAAGGCTAGATTTTTAACATGCTGCTCTCTCCAGGAGACTGTCAGAGCCAACCCCTGTCCCTTACTCCCAGGTGTCAAAATGATCCAAAATGTGGAGCAGCCAACAACCCTGCCCCCAGCGCCCTTGCTTACTATTGATACAGCAAAAGATACAGAGAAAGGAATGGGGGCTCTCAGCAAAACTCATCACCTCCTGCAAGGTTAGTACAGGAAGAGAATCAGGAATGGATTGAAAATATATATATTTCAGCATGTATTAAAGGACCACTGAGGAATTTCAGAAGGAGATGCAATTTCAAACTTAAAATCTCTGTTAAATTCAGTTGTGCAAATCAGATTTGATTAAATTAAATCTGTTCAGAAAGATTCAGAGGTCTTTTATCTTGTTATCTATAATGTGGGCACAGAGAAGATGAATGATTTACTGGAGGCTATATAGACAGATGGTACCAGAGCTGGGAGTCCAGACCCTGAGACACATTGTAACAGAGCTGCAACATTATCTACAAGAGGAAAAGAGTCTTCAGGACCAAGACAGAAGTAGGAGCCCAATATATAGAGAAGGTGATAAGGCCATGTGTGAGGCCAGGATAGATGTTACTCAAATTG